AGTAGTGACCATAAATTCTTCGACCCCATCCAGACTGACTCCTACCTGAACTAACTTTGTCTACAGAATATTTAAGTCTTTCAGCTCCACAATACCTAGGGCAATTCAAGTGCTGTGGTATTTATCCACAGCTTCCGGCAGCCAATTTCTCAGATGTTTCTCACCTGTCAGGAACTGATAATTTTTTAACCAAGGGTTGCACACAGTATAAATGCATTTCTTGAAGATAAAGAAAACAAAATAAACCCCTTAATTATCAACCACTTTACTGAGTGAGCCATGCAATGAATGAAAGCGGCATTTCTCAATGGAAAATAGGGTCTGTGGACTAATCTTATAAATGAATGCCTTTTTCTACATCAAAAAAATCTTTAATTAATTTGATTTTACTCCCTTTCTTCTTTCTCTTCATAAAAGAACTGGCCATTCCCTTTAAACATATGCTTACAATACTCTCCACTAAATGAATAAATACAGCTTGTCCTAGAGAACTGCAGTGTTGGAAGCAAATTAATCCATCAGGTCCTGTTTGACTTTTGTGATGTGACAAGATTTATTACCCGTAATCTATCACAGAGAAGAAAACTCTAGTGCCCTCCATCATTCTGATCTATATTAAACAGTTGTTTGTTGGCAGGTATATTAACACAGCTAGTAATTAGTGCTGTCGAAAAGCTTAAATAATTGCCTGGTGCAGAAAAACTTTGCAAACGGGTTTCATACACTGTAATTTAACGTTCTCACCAGTGGAACTATTTTTAAAAACATCTAATATTCTTCATTTCACACAGAGATGCAAGAGTTTAGGGAAGAATGTACGTTAATAATATAAAGGAAGTTTGGTTGATCAATATCTTCAGTATCTGTTAACCCAACACCCCATTATCTTTAAGAGTCTACCTTAAATTTCCCAAAAGAATTTATCAAATATTTCTTAGAAGATTAGTAGGATTGAATCACTCTTGGAAACCTCTTGAAACAATCTAGTCATGTGTTTTTAAGGCATGTAATTTTTTAAATCCCCAGCTGTAAATTACTATCTAATCCAGCCCCCTCACTTTTTATATATGGAAACCAAAACTCAGAAAGTTTAAATGATGTTCTCAATGTTACGTAATCAGTTATCATTAGGATTGAGACAAGAACTTTAGTCTCCTGGTTCTCAGATAAACAAACATTTGTTGACTAGGTAAGACCAGCCACGTGATTTCTGTAGCAACCCTCATCTTTGTTGCCATACATCTGTTAGCGATCTTAAACACTAGGTTGGGCCACATTTGATAATTATTAAAAATATTAAAGCCGTGCATCTGATCTCTTATTTTGATGTAGTGATTTCAACTTCCTACCATGAGTAAGATTGTCCAGTTACTTCTCTACATAAAGGAAGAATAAAGCCTTGGAATAAAAGCATTACTCACCCTCCCAGGCCAGTATTAAAAACCACTTCACCAGCAACAGAGGATGGGTGGCCAAAGGAGTAACCTTTCATCTTAGTTCCATCTTCCAGGACAATGTGCGCTGTCTGTGCCTAAAGAAACAGTTGCATGAATCTCAGCAGAATACAAAATACAAAACACATGCACACAAAAAAATTTACAAAGGTAAAATACACGAACATATTAAATAAATGAGCAGTATATTTAATGAAACAAAACAGCCCAAATTTGGAGTTGCTCTCCTGTCACTTACCACTTGCCTTCAAATATACCATTCTTGTCACTGGCAAGTGTTTTGTTTTGCTTGAAAGAGGAAGTGAAGCATGTGGATACATTGTTCTAAGCTTACTTGTGGAGTTGCTGACTAGCCAGAAATACTTCAATGTAGCTGCAATGTTATGTGTCTATCTTTTTCCCGCTTAATATTCCCGAGCTTGTTTAAGCATAGCTTTAAGGAAAATTCATGAGTTTACAAAAACATTATGAATTGTACCATACAGCTCATCATCACTCTGAGGTTTAGAGCTAGAAGGAATCTTCAAGATGATCGATCAAATTGTGTTCCACAGAGCTCTCGTGTTTGATGGAGTTGTCCCAAGGGCTGCCCTGACCACACCAGCTTTATGGTCATGAAGAAGCTGAAACTTTCTCACTCTATTAACACTGACACAACAGCAAGCACTGTGGAACACTCTAAAAGTGTATTGTATTTTGCTTTTTATCAGAGTTGATTATATCCATGTCTGTTTCCTTCTTTAGACTGCAGGCATTCTGAATTTGACTACTTTGCCGTACTAAGTTTTGAACCAACTTCTACAAAATTCTTGGCTAAGAAGAGGGACAATTAGAGGATGTTATCTAAGAAGCAGATCATCCATTCCTCATAAATACTCTAAATTCTATTGTTGAAACAATTGAAATCTAATTCTCAATTTCCATAGAATTCAGAAGAGAGAGAGAGGAATGTGTTAAACCTCACCTCGAGAGGCAAAATTTAGACTCTGTAACAAACTCTATAGGACAAACTAATTGGAACATGGTTAAAAAAATAAACTATAAAGAAAAACGTCTCTGCGATAACTGAGTAAAATTGAATAATAAATTAATTTGATTATATTTGGTATAATATTTTTTAGGATTGATGACAGTATTGTAGTAGGGACATAGATGAAATAAGTTTTACCAAGAGTAGAATTTGTTGAAGTAGGGGAGATCATTGTACTGTTTTCTTCAAGGTTTAAGTGCAGTCATTAGAGATAGAAATGTACTAATTCTCTACATTGTTTTTCTCACAGTTTTAGGACTGGGCCGCAGTGTCTAATCCTATTGTATCTGCCACCACACAGGCACATCTTGTACACACACCCATATCAACTTTTTGTAAGCAGTAGGAACTCAACAAATGATTTGTAGACCTTTATTTTTATGCTCCTCTAGCTTTATGACATGACCTCAACTTTTCAAGTATTAAAATGGAAAAAGCCCATTATTTTTCTAAAATAATTTTCTCTGTAGAAATAAAATGCCTCTTTTAGATCCAAAGTATCCAAGTTTCTTGCCATTAGAAGGATTGTTCTTCAGTGTAAAATAGCATTTTGATTATCTTTAAACCAATATACTATGTTCCTAAGTCTTGTTTGTAGCGTGTGTGCATACATATTAATTTACATTTACACACAAAACTATTTTAGTGTTTTTTATTAAAATTGATAGGATATATTTATGATTTTTTTCTCAACAGTTAATTTTATCAGTTTTGTTTAAATCAAAGGTACAACATGAATTTCAGGTACATATTTCTGAGAAAGATTGAACAAAGTACTATACTGCACATTTTATGTGTTTGTGTGCATGCAAGTGTGAGAGAGAGAGAGAGTGTGTGTGTGTGTGTGTGTATGTGTGTGTGTGTGTGTGTCCATGGACAGGGTTAACTGAAGACTTTTGTCCTTTACCTGGCTTACCAAACTGTACTTGAGATAAAGTTTTATCTATAGCCTTGGAAACAGTGTTTGAAATCCCAAGCTTGATATTTATCTTTAAATAGTTGTGGTTTGGGCCGGGCACGGTGGCTCACGCCTGTAATCCTAGCACTCTGGGAGGCCGAGGCGGGAGGATTGTTTGAGCTCAGGAGTTCGA